ATGACTGCCCTTTGGGTACCATCACCTGCACAGTCACAATTATTTCCTTAGGATAAATTTCTAGACGTAGGATTGCCAGGGTAGGATTGCCAGGTCAAGGCATGTGCAGAATTTGAAGTCTCTTTGTAGGTTTTCAAAACTGCCCAATTTATTCACCCACCAAGAAAATCTGAGAGTTTAGACCTTTGCCCTGGCTTTCTGACTTGCTTTCCTGAATGTGGTTTTCTGTATGGCTCTCAGTTACACTACAGCTCTCCCAGCCTTGTGTGGAAAAAATAGAACAATACAAAATAAAATGACAAGCAGACAACAAACAAACCTGCTAGAAACTGGTATTTAGTTTAAGGAGACAGATTGTCAGTCTGCTTGGCTTAATGTGTATGTGTATTGTCCTGGGTGTACAGTACAACTCTCACAGGCCACAGAGGTTGAAAGCGCCATAGGTTCTTACACTGGGGCCAAGGGTAGGTCCTCCATCCCTCAATCCTCAGAAAATATGTGCTGTTTGCATTAGGGCATGTCAACTATTTTTTGGTGCAGAGAGAGTTCATAACTTCTTAAGGTTTTCTAACGGGCTTGTGGGACTAGCATGAAATGAATGAGTCAATGTATTAGTTTCTTGCCTTGTTAAATGAAAAGAGTAAAAGAAGAAGAGAGATGTGGTTTTCCCTTTCTAGTTAAAATATTTCTCATTTGTATCAGGGTCCTTTTAGAGTTGACTGTTATTTTTGAACTATAATTTCTGGAATCGGGGATAAAAATGGCTATTCTACATTGCCAGGAATTTGCTCCTGTGCCTCCTCTAAGAATGGAGATGGGGCAGATTTGTCTTTTGTTTTGGGAAGGGGTCACTTTGGGAGTGAGCCCTCAGGGTCAAAGAGCCTCAGGCAGCACCTGCTTCTGGCATTGGCCCTGCTCCTCCCAGCAAAGGATTCCCAAGTCCAAATGTGAGAATTCAGCCAGATGTGATTGTATATGGAGAGGGACAGGAAGCATAAAAGGTATGCAAAAAAAATTTTTTTTTTTTTTAAGAATTGAGGACATTTCAGTTGAGGGAAACAGTGGAAAATTAGAACACTTTCTGGATATTCGATGATATTAAGGAATTATTATTACTTGTTAAGTAGAAAATGGCAAAATGTATATCTGTCTTTCTATTTACATGTGCGTGCATGTGTGCGTGCTCAGTTGCTTCAGCCGTGTCTGACTCTTTGACACACTATGGATTGTAGCCCACCAGGCTCCTCTGTCCATGGGATTCTTCAGGCAAGAATATTGGTGTGGGATGCCATTTCCTCCTCCAGGGGATCTTTCGGACCCAGAGATAGAACCTGCATCTCTTGTATCTCCTGCATTGGCAGGAAGATTCTTTTACCACTGAGTCATTTAGGAAACCCTTTAATTTACAAACCCATACACAATTTTTTTTTTATTGTGGTAAGAATAAACTATTTGTTTGAATTTCGAGAAGGCAAATTCCAGTGGCAGACTGAAAACAAAGTGGAGCGTGTGTGGATGAAGGCAGGGAGGATGGGAGAGTCTCTGATTCTCAGTCGTTGGGGGGCAGGTTTTAAGCATTGTAGTTGATATCTGACTAAGGCTTCATTTCCAGAATACATGGAAGTGCAATCCTTGGATTTTAAAAGAGGTTCTTGGCTTATTATCTAGGCTATCTCCTAGACTATATAGTACTGGGATTCAAGAACATGAGTCTTAACCACCCAGACTTTCCCTTCCAAAATGCAAAATTTATCACTCCCAGGTGTCTATAAAACAAATAGATTAATAATAGGCATTGCTTATTGAAACATGTATATTATCTAGGGTGAAACGGATAACCAGCCCAGGTTGGGTACATGAGACAAGTGCTCGGGCCTGGTGCACTGGGAAGACCCAGAGGGATCGGGTGGAGAGGGAGGTGGGGGGGGGACTGGGATGGGGAATACATGTAAATCCATGGCTAATTCATTTCAATGTATAACAAAAACTACTGTAATGATGTAAAGTAATTAGCCTCCAACTAATAAAAATTAAAAAAAAATAAATAAATACCAAAAAAAAAAAATAGGCATTGCTTAAAACAAATTTATTAAAAAATTTTCCTTATGTGATTTTATACCATTTAACACCAAAGATGTTGGTAACTGAACCTTCCAAAAATTGAAGGCCTATTTCAGGTTAATGGCTAAATCACCATAATAATAAATTTCAAATAACAGTAATAACTGATTAAAAAATAAATTCTAAATAAATTATCAACTAAGAAGAGATCTAGAAGGCCGGAGGACTGATTTAACTGTGCCAAGACAAATTTTATCAATGTACCTCAATTTCAAGGTCTGAGTGTCTTTAATGATATCATGCTGCCACCTGGTGTTTCTGCTCCTTCACTGCAGTAGGATTTGTGGAGTTGACGCGTGAAGTACAGCTTCAGGGAAAGGTTAAATTTTTGAAAATTTGAGCTTTGGTCTGAGAACGAGTTGAATGTATTTCCCGTAAAACACAAATTTAATGAATCAGAGAAGACTTGAATTTCCTTAATAGCATCACAAATGACAAATGAGAGATGGGGCATCTGCTGGTTATCATTGACATATTACAACTTTATTCTCTATTCTGGTTATTAGAAACAGTCACCTTCACAATCAGAGCAGTGTCATGGCTTGATCTAACAATTGGTATTTTAACTTAAATTCTGTTTGGAACCTAGAAGAGAGGAATTTGGAAATTAACATTTAAACAGAGAACAATATGGGATTGTGGAGAAGGTCATGAAATTCTGAAGTATGTATGTGTATGGGGGGCAGGGGGTCGTATGCTGGGACAGAGTTTGAGAGTCTCAGGTTTTTAGCTATTATCTACCTGAAGCAATCTATGTTGCATCTTTCCCATGGATGAGATTTGTTTAGCTCACAGGAATTTTTCTTAAAAACAGTTTTAGATTCCAACAATAAAGGATTTCTGGGGTCTTTTTGGAAACCAGAATCTCCGGATGATGGGCTAACATTCCCTGTTGCATGACTTGCTGGGACATGTGTTGTTCGATTTGCTCCAGATCTCATCAGGCAAGTTTTACTCACTTACCAGCCTGAACCATGTCTTATAGCTTCTAGATTTTAGTGAAAGGAAAAAAGAAATTAAGGCTTTTAGTGTTGGAAAAGGAACCTGAATCAATCTAGTCTATACCCTTTCCTTTCAAGAAAGAGAAAGCTGGCTTGCCCAGGGTCACATGCCTAGGGAAACCCAGAGAGAGAAAGAGAACTTGGGACTTCCTGCAGCTTTCTGTATTTATCTGGGATGGTTTCGGTTTTGGGTGACCTGATGCAAGTTGTTTACCCACAAGGTGACTTTCTTGTTGTATTTATACAATAGGTTCAGAGTTCCTTTAAACTTTCCCAGAAAAATATTTAATTTGGCTTTTAATATTTCACATTCATGGTACACATGAATGTGACAGGACATAAAGGCCACATAGATTCAAAATAAATAGAACAAGGAATTTCTTGAAGATTATGTATCTATTCTGTACTGTCTAGTATGGTAGCTACTACCCACATTTGGTTATTTAAATTTATATTTAAAGTAATTGAAATTAAATACAATTAATTTTCTCAGTCTTACTAGTTATAAGTTAAGTGGTCAATAGCCATATATGGCCAGTGGCTTGCATATTGGACAATCCAGATATACATTTCCATCATCGCAGAAAGTTCTCTTGGACAGCATTGATGTGGTTGAAATGCCTTTTTTTTTTTTTTTGAGACCTTTCCTGTAGCTTTATCTTGCTTTTCTTCATGATAAACAGAATTAATCAGAATTACTTCATGAGCAAGAGTGGAGAATGAAAGCTAGGCAATGTTCATTGTGAAAGTTAGATACTGAAATGAGAAATTTCTAAAAGGAATAAAATTCACCAAATGTGGGTGTTGGAGCAGAATATGCTTTGCCACGAAATGAAAAGCAGTTTGACGGACTTGTGCTTTTAAGGGCTGACCCTGATAATGTTGTTTCTTTGTTTCATGCCATTGAGTGTGTCATGAACAAGTGCGTCCATTTACAGCTGTGGTGGACGGCCACTTGTGACGCCTGCCTGGCCTCCAGCACTGGGAACCTTCCTGTCTCACACTCCATGCAGTCTCCATGGGAACCTCAACCTGAGCAGAAGGGCTTAAGATAAAAAATATGATTCATCCTTCTGACAGTTCTGAAGAGACTGTTCGTTGTTTCCCAGCGTTACTCTGGGTTTTATCCATCCTGAGATCTGGTTGCTCATTTTACCCTTCCATTTGATGTACTACCTACCTCATTTCCTTCCAAAAAGTTAAAAATTTTTTTTCTTTGTTAAAGTTAGCCAGAACCTTTTTTGTTACATTCATCCAGATAATCCAAGCCAATATGATGCTGTTACTTGAATGTCATGGTGTATAGAAATGAGTCTGGCCCCTCTGTAAGTTTATGTATGTGTACGTTAGTTAGTTAATCAGTTGTGTCCGACTCTTTGTCATCCCATGGGCTGTAGCCTGCCAGGTTCCTCTGTCCATGGATTTCTCCAGGCAAGAACACTGGAGTGGGTAGCCATTCCCTTCTCCAGGGGATTTTCCCAACCTAGGGGTTGAACCCAGGTCTCCTGCCTTGCAGGCAGACTGTTTACCATCTGAGCCACCAGGGAAGCCCCAGTTTACCTATGTACGTGGTCAACCTATCAATCTCTCAGCGCGTGGTTATAATTTTGAACCAAGTCCTCTTCTGTGTACTCTGGAAAGCTCAGTGTTTATACTCTACTTTGGAGCATTAGCCTCTGTCCATGGGATTTCCCAGGCAAGAATATTGTAGTGGGTTACCATTTCCTCCTCCAGGAGATCTTCCTGACCCAGGGATTGAACCTGTGTCTCTTGTGAGTCCTGCATTGGCAGGAGGATTCTTAATCATTGTGCAACCTGGGAGGCCCCATTAAGTGAAGCAGACAGTAAGAAAGTAGACCATGACTTTTATTATTATTATTTTTTAAATTAAATGCAAATTTTATTAAGGATTTCAAATTACATATGTCAAATTTCTAAAATGGAATAGAACCGTCTTGAAACTGGAGAGATGGCATTGATGAACACTGATATCCCTTGAAACTCCAACTTTATTTAAAAAAAAAATTCCTCTGCAGACCATATTCCCCCAATATTACATGAAATAGTTATTTATCTCTTCACTTTGGCAACCGCTATTTCCTAAAGGAAGAGTTTTGCTGCTACTTTTAAGTTCATTAAAAATGGGATTCTATCTTCAGATTAAAATTTTTTAGTTCAGAAGAAGCTGTGTTCAAATGAGCTATGGGTACAAAAAAAGAAAATCACCGCAGACTGTCTAATTAAAACAAGCAAAATCATTTTGAAAATGAAGAGGAAAAACAGAAGGTGTTTTCATGGCATTTTTTATGAACTACTGCAACTGGTTAAGGATTTCCAGTAGGTACTTAAAATTTCAGGAGGAATGGATAGTACTATACAAATAACAAAATGTGTTTATATTCTAAGACCTTAATACTAAATTTTTAAAACAGAAGCTCTATCACCTCTAAAAATGAGCCCAATGTAATTTTATTAAAACCAGGAATTCTAGGCTTTCCTATAATTATAACCCAATTAGTCCACTCTGTCAAACCTTTAATATTCATCCCCAAAAGTAACAGTATTTAGCCTGAGGTATTTTAAATGTGGCTCTACAGTCCCTAATTTAATGGCATTTCCCGCCTCTAACAATGGTCTTATTTTCACTTTAGTTCCATGACCTCTATAGTATTTACTACAATATAGTCAGAATTAAAATAGCTGGAAAAAATCCTAGGACCCCTTGAAACAGCTGCTCATTACCTACTTCTGTTAAAACAGGAGCCACACAAAGGTCTACAAGTGTTGCCCGACTGGATCCAGAATAAAGGTACTTATACTTGGTTTACCAGTTTAACTATTCATATCAAGCCTTGGTATAATTAAGATGTTGAATATCACATACTTATGGTACAACAGGTCCAAAGTTTTGAGGTTTTAATGCAACTGAGAAACATTTCATAAAATTTTTAACTTAATATGCCTTAACACATCTGTGAGGTAATTAAGTCAACAGTACTACCCATTTTAATACACAGTCAAACAAAAGGCAAGGGTAAATAAATGACACATTTTAAGCAGTAAGAACTGGAATTGACTGTAAGGCTCGGGGCCTTCAGTCTGGTTATGACCAAAGGAAATGAAATTTTAACCTTTTACTCTTCTATGAGAACCATTAAATCATTTAAGAATTTATCTTTTTTTAAAATACTTTCTTATTAGTAGATATAGTAGTACCTCTTCCAAATTTGGCACCCTTTTCTTCAGTAATATGGTAAACTGGGTACATAATTAAAGCTAGGGCTCTGCTTCTACCTGAATTAGTATAAAATTAAGACATTATCTTTTGAGAACTAAAATTATATGACATTTTTATTTTAGGCTGCAAAAACAAAAATGAGCAAACAAACAACAAAAAACTTGAAATAGGCTTGTCAAATGATGTAAATTCATCCTTTCCAGGAAAGCAGAAGGTAGATCAGTGCAGGTTATCCTCAAGGCCACATACATCCTGCTTCACTGCTGCTTGCACTCTGCTGGGTTTTGATCCTTCTTTGGGTCATAGTCTGGATCATTTTCTTATCTCCTTCTTCTTCCCCTTCCTCATCCACTTCTTCACCTTCTTCATCATAATCATCGCCATCATCTTCAATAACTTCTCCAGTGAAGTATAACACTGATCTTGGGATTATACGCTCACGTAAAAAGTGACCAATTTCAAAGTCTGCAGCAAGGATAGCTTCAGAATCATCATAGAGATCTCCACTCTCAGGAACTTCAGGAGGGGCAAAAAAATTAAAGAAAGAGTCATTAGAGACTGTCTTGGTCACAGTATGAATTGTCCCATGTCCCTTGTGCTTCTGCTTCTTCTTAATCGTTTTCAAAGTGACATTCTTCCCTTTTTTCCAATCTATCTGGCACCCTGTACAACCCATAATTTCTGGTCCATCAAAAGAAAAGGGATCAGAATCATCTGGTTCTGACCTCATCCTATATGTCTTTGTCAACACTTCATTTGTGAAATATTCATTGGGTTCAAAGTGAAATTCTAAGACAAAACTCATAGGTTGACCAGCATCTGAGAACTTCACTTTAATATCTTTCAAGTGCTTCAGAATAGGTTCATCATGTTCCTGAACCGTATCACTGAGCAAGTCAACATTCTTAAAAACGGTCAGCCAAAACTCAGGAATTCCCTTGGGATCTTCTTTTTCTTCATCCCTTTTCTCATCTTCAATCTTGGCCTTTTCTTTTAGCTCCTCCGAAATTTCATCTTCCTCATCTGGTTTCCATTCACATTCTTCTTCTGTAGGTTCATAGATGGCATTAATGATCTCAAATCGCTTATCAAACAGAGGTTGATAAAGAACAGCATACTTTCTTTCAAGACCATGAACTTCCTCGTAGAATTTGGCTTCTATCTGCGCACATTTAACTTGAAGGTTTTTAAGGGCATTCACTCGTCTTTTAACTACCCTAGGCAAGCTTTCAATGTATCCTGTTGGTGTTTCTACCAGACCACCAAGTCTTTCTTGAAGGGCTGCAAGAATCTGAGGATTTTGCATCATCTGAACAGTCAGCTGACACGCTTTGAGTTTTGTTTCTTCACCAGTCTCCTCCTCTTCTACTTCTTTAACATCATCCAAATCTTGATCAAGTTCAGACTGTTCTTTGCTACAATATTACAGTATCACACCAAGGTTCAAAAGTACCAATTACTTGTCGATGTCTGCCATGTTGTACAAATGCCAAATATCGGTGGCAAGCGCGGGGAGCCAGGCGGCCCGAGCTGCTCAGGCAGTGACTCAGGGTGGCGGCGGGAAGAGCAGGAGGCGGTGCCGCGAGCAGATGGCGCTAAAAAAGCGACCATGGCCTTTAGAATTGAGGTAGAAAAGGGTGGTATCTGGGCCTGCAGATACAGAGCTTCCTAAGTTCTCAATGAAGGCTCTGGATCTACTTATGGCCACTCCCACTTCTCACTTGGGAGTGTTTCATTTATCCTCCTGAAAAGTCTTCACTGTCTTTTCCTGATTCCTTTAGCTCTCTGAGTTTTGCTGTCCTGCTGCCAGCATATTTTCTAATGAGGACAGAGGAGGTCTGCAGCATCCTTGGCTGTACATTTCCAGTAAGCAGTTGGTGGATAGAGCAGATGTTTCTGCATTTACACCAAGTGCAATTGAGTTTTGTATTAGGAGTACATAGAGAGGGAAATCTTCCAATTCATATCACACCAGGGCCAGAGAAGGACATTTATAGCATTTACTTGAAATGCTATACACTCAAACTGCAGTGAGTTTTAGGGGGTGCTGAAAAGTATGAATGCATTCATAATTTTTATTGGCTAAAAATGTTGGGTTGTGTATTGGAATCTCATGTTTAGTGACCCTCCAATTTTTAATTAGTAGCCTTTTTTCCTCCATCAATTACTAGCAAAAAAAGCAAAAAAAAAAAAAAAAAAATATAAGAAAACACAAGAAAATATTATTTGCTTTGAAAAGAAACTATTTCNATTTGCCATGAAGTGGTGGGACCAGATGCCATGATCTTAGTTTTCTGAATGTTGAGCTTTAAGCCAACTTTTTCACTCTCCTCTTTCACTTTCATCAAGAGGCTCTTTAGTTCTTTGCTTTTTGCCATAAGGGTGGTGTCATCTCTGTATCTGAGGTTATTGATATTTCTCCTGGCAATCTTGATTCCAACTTGTGCTTCTTCCAGCCCAGTGTTTCTCAGGATATACTCTGCATATAAGTTAAATAAGCAGGGTGACAATATACAGCCTTGACATACTCCTTTTCCTATTTGGAACCAGTCTGTTGATCCATGTCCAGTTCTAACTGTTGCTTCCTGACCTGCATACAGGTTTCTCAAGAGGCAGGTCAGGTGGTTTGGTATTCCCATCTCTTTAAGAATTTTCCACAGTTTATTGTGATCCACGCAGTCAAAAGTCTAAATCAGTCAAGTGTATTTTAAATTATGCTTTATAAATTAACATCCAAACTCAAATCAAGGTCATGAACATCAGTAAATACATAAACCAATAGAAATGGAAGGATTTATTTATGCAAGACCACTTTACAAGGAGGAAGAGTTACTCATCATTATTTGAGATTTCCAAAATGAGAGAGTGCCCCCAAATAATCAACATGGTAATGTATTATTTTGAGAGCTCAATATCAATATGCATGATTCAGTTATAATCACTACTTGAATAAAAGAGAAAAGAAAAGTGATAATTGTAATTTAGGCCAAAAGCCCCGATTCCATGATAGAGACCTACCCCTTAGGACAGTGTTGTTCATGACTTCAGATGGTGGCTGTGGGCTTCCAATGCCCAAACCTTCACTTCTGGTAGGCAGTATTTCTTAGGTGTCAAATCTGTGCCTGGAAAACAGCTGATTATAGATTGTAGTTATATGAATTCTTGGTGCTGAGAACATCTAATGGCATTGCACAAGGACAGCTGCAATATAATGTGATGTTGCTGTCCTCCATTTCATGCTGTACCTAATTTTTTTTTTCTCTCCCTGTAACATTGATTGATTCGGTAACGGAGAATGTTTGCTTTCCAGTTGGCAGATCTAATTGTAAATAAACAGCTGCTAGCTGCATTTAGACAGTGGATGATGTTGGCAGGTACAAGAGCAGGGTGTGCAGGATGATTTAAGGCCTGTGCAGTGGAGTGTGTGGAAGGCTGTGGAACCAGATGCAGGCAGGAGGCTTTTAGGTACAAAGTCCTCTGTGGCTCAGAATAACCTCAAGGCAAAGTTTTTACATTTTAATGTAAAATAAGGACTGGTGCATGGATGTGAGGGTCTGTGAAGGCCAAGGTTATGGACTAAATATGAGTAAAATATAGATACTCTGTTTGCTAGGAGTCCTTTTTGTTTTTGAAGAGCGAAATTATATATTAGATTAATTATCAAGAATTATTTCCCTGGACAAGGTAGATTTAAAAATTCAGAATGAAAACAGCAAGAAGATGAATATGTGGAGGAGAATTCTTCCTGGTTTATGAGATGATGTGAATGGTAACTGCAGCAATAACAAAAATGCCAGGACCTCAGTGGATGTCATTACTCTAGTTATAGCCATGTCTTTGCCTAGATCAACCCCAGCATCTTCATGTATGGGACACTTAGCACAGGAAAGTTGAATTTTTCCCAAGACACTGAGTACTTTAGACTATAAACAGCAATGCTTGTAAAGCTTAGGAAGGAACTTTGCGGGTATTAGTCATTATCCTAGGTGTCAGCCAAAATTGTGGCATCACTGGTCACCTGAGCCTAAAATCTATAGTGATTATCCTCTTGTTTTCTCTAATGTGAGGACCTCACTTGGCCAGTGCCTTCCTCTCACTATTGTCATAAATCTGTGTTCCTTCCTTCTAGACTGGAGATGGCCCTTTCCATGGCTCAGAAGATCTTAAGCAGGCCTTGTTTTACCTACCCTTATACCTGGAGTGAGCATAGGGTCCTGGACAGGTAAAAGATGGATGTTGGTGTGAAGGAAAGTTCTCCAGAGCTATCATTACCATCTTTCTAAATTCCGTATATATGTGTTAGTATGCTGTAATGTTCTTTATCTTTCTGGCTTACTTCACTCTGTATAATGGGCTCCAGTTTCATCCATCTCATTAGAACTGATTCAAATGAATTCTTTTCAAAAGCTGAGTAATATTCCATGGTGTATATGTACCACAGCTTCCTTATTCATTCATCTGCTGATGGGCATCTAGGTTGCTTCCATGTCCTGGCAATTATAAACAGTGCTGTGATGAACATTGGGGTGCACGTGTCTCTTTCAGATCTGGTTTCCTCAGTGTGTATGCCCAGAAGTGGGATTGCTGGGTCATATGGCACTTCTATTTCCAGTTTTTTAAGAAATCTCCACACTGTTCTCCATAGTGGCTGGACTCTGTGGGAGAAGGCGAGGGTGGGATGTTTCAAAAGAACAGCATCAAAACATATATATTATCTATAGTGAAACAGATCACCAGCCCAGGTTGGATGCATGAGACAAGTGCTCGGGCCTGGTGCACTGGGAAGACCCAGAGGGATCGGGTGGAGAGGGAGGTGGGAGGGGGGATCAGGATGGGGAATACATGTAACTCCATGGCTGATTCATGTCAATGTATGACAAAACCCACTTCAATATTGTAAAGTAATTAGCCTCCAACTAATAAAAATAAATGAAAAAAAAAGAAAAGGAAAAAAAATTCTCCAGAGCTAGCCTAGGAGGGACTAAGGAGTGACTGAATGGAGCCAGATCAAAGTATCCCTCTGACCCAGAACAGTGGTGGGCCGCTCCACTCTTCCACATTACAGAACTAAAGATGGAAATGTGCTTAAAACAAAGAGAATCTCAGCTGTGTGACTGGACCAGCAGCAAGAATGAGTGGGGAGGTGGGTAGGCGCAAATTACCTGGTGGCATCTAAAAGGTTATAGCATCTCCCAGTACTGACCCTCCGCTGCTCCCTAGCCCTGTGGAGTGAAGACAGGCTCTGGGCAGAACAGCGGCACAATCGTGGTTAATGTGGAACTCTGACCTGGAGACTGGGAGATGACCTAGTAGTGTTCCTATTTTCTTTCTGGTTTCTCCTTGGTTTTTGTCATAAACTCTCCTTCTTTCTTGAACTTTGCATCAGAATGTTCTGGATGTTTCATGTTCTTTTTTCTTTCCCCCTTCCCTCTACTGCATTTTCTGTCTGTCTGTTTTTTGTTACAAGCAATGGTTAGGTCTTCAAAACCTTTCCTCTAGTCTTTTTGTTTTTATGCCTCTCAACAGAGGTTGTTTCCTCCCCCAAGTCCGATTTCCTGTTCATTATCTTCTCTCAGGCATTCACAAAGCATTTTGGCATGTTAAAAATCAGCTGACATTTCTCCCTGGAGGGAAATGGTTTTCTTTCCTGAAACGCTTTATATGGGGGAAGGGAGTGTGAGGTAGTCCACTGGTGATCTCACCTCCCAGTCTCCAGGTCACAGTTCCACATTCATCAGAACCCCTAGTGGGGGCATTTACCTTTACCTGCATTTATTAGCAGGACTGTCTAGGCTGGGAGAGACTTAGTAACTTGCCAGTGGCTACAGAGCAAATCATGGAACAGTCTGGATTGATTTTCATCTGTTGGGATCCAAAGGCCACATTCACTCCACTATGCATGGGGGTGAGGTTGGACACTCCAGGTGCAGAATGTCTTGTGACTTCCAGCCCTCTTGGGGTCCAGAGAACTAATATGCATAGGCATGGAGGAGGAGGACTTTAAGCTATAAACTGTGCATCATAATCTAGTTTATAAAAGCCTGTTGGCCTGGCCTCAATTTATTCTCCTTCTGAAACAGCCTGATGATCTGTAATGATGAGAATTTGAATCCATAATCTGAATTTACTTAACAAGATAATTAAATATTTAAAGTCAGTTCATTTGGAGGCTAGAAAGGATTATAGATAGCATACACATAGATTTCCATCCCTGTGTTAGTATGCACAGCAGCATGTTCTTAATTTTGGTTATAGCTGTTTTGCAGTTCTCATATCTCTGCATTTTCCATGGCAATTAGGACTGGAGGGAGCTTGTGGTGTCCTTGGAACTGAGAGAGAAGTGAAGTTATGACACCAAATAATACAAAATGGGCCTAGTCCTCATTGCAATAGAAACCACTCAGAAAAGTTAATTAAACTCAGGAAATAAGCTGCAAGATAATTAAGTTTTGGCCTAATTTTACACTGCAGGCATTCTATATTATTTTTGCAAGGGTCCAAATGAACATGAGATAGAAAATCTCCAGGTTGTGGGTTTGATTCATAAAGGATCATTATCTGTAGTTAAATGGTAAGATAAAATGGTAATTGTGTGGGCAGCAAATTATATTTTGTAAGGTTAAAGTGATCATTGTGCTACACATAGAAGATATTTATAATTTCTTTTAATTATCAGTAGAAGTGAGAGTTGTCAGTATGTCTAGTGTAGGAAATGATAAATGTGTAAACCACAAATTTAAGATACGTGGCATTGTGTTTTCTGAAATAATGGTAAATAATCAACTTATTGTATTTTGTGAGCTTGAGAATATTTCAAACCCAAGGGCTGGAGGCAGCCTTGATCACTATCTTATTACCTCATGTATAACAGAATAAAAAAAAAGCCTGTCCCAAGTCAAGAACCAGTTCATCATCTCTCCTTAGCCTGTCGCTGGGAGGAACGGAAGAGGGAAGGAGGGGACGTTTGCTTCCTGACTGGACTTGCTTTTCACAAAGTTCTGCTGGGGGTTACTTAGTACCCTGTGGCCTTCGAGGGCATTGCCAATTGATTATATTTTCAATTGTCTAGTATTCATCCTAGCTTTTTTTTTTTTTTTCCTTTTTAATGCCTGTTGTGAGCTCAGTGCTCCTTTTGGACAAAGTAGAACATTTATTTAAAAATTGACCTGGGATTTACCTTGTTCCTTCCCTATATATTTTTTTCTTTGCCTTAAAAAAAAATTATCATGTAGGACAGGAAGAAAATAAACCAAAATCTATCTGTTGGCTGCCAAAGTGAATCAAGTCAACTATATTTCTTATTTACTCTTTCTGGGAAGGTCTGAGTAAAGACAACTAGCCTTTGGTTAAATTTGATCAGTGGCTATTCTTAATGTTCAATGCTATGCTATTTCCCCTGCTGACTGCTTCCAAAAAGGATTCTCCAGGGTTCTTTCTTTCATTGTACATAGTTTTACTGACATTTTGCAAGTGACTGGGAATTTCTGAATACATTGGAGGGTAAAGAAGTAAGCAGTCTAGACGTACCATGGTGATCACTTTGTAATGTATAGAAATATCAAATCACTATGTTGTGTGCCTGGAACTAACATAGTGTTGTAGGTCAAGTATACTTCAATTAAAAAATATGTAGACATTGGGAGGAAGTGTATAAAAATGCTAATGATGGTTATCTCTAGAGGGTAAGGATTATGTGGTGTTTGCTATTTTCTACTTTATGCTTTTATGTATTTCTAGTTTCTATATTGAAGATATATTGCTTGTAAAATTATAAAGAAAATAAGAAATGTCATTAAAAAAAAAGAAATCACCAGGGCAAAACAGGTATAAATGTAACAGGATGTCAAAGGAGATCTCTCCTACTATTTCATAGTTTTGATCTAAGAGCCCAAAGCTGAGGGCAGTTGGCCCTGAGGTAGTCCAATATTCTGCAGAGGTGAAGGAATGGCCAGAGTTCCACCACTTTAATATTTAAGAAGGGGCTTTGACTCTGTTACCAGCCAAGCCCTGGAAGTGAAGATCAGAGTTTCATCTATTTGCATCGTTTACATCATGAGCTATCCTCTCCATCCGAACTGCTGATCTGGATGGGCAAAGAGAGAGTCAGAGCAGTGGCCAGATTTCTCCACTCTTAGAACCCCTCAGGTGGAATTAGAGAACTCATGAAGGAGGGGACCGTGGCTCTTGTAGCACACCTGGCTTATTGGGGTGCCTTTGCACTCCCTAAACCTGCATGCCTGCCGTCTACTTAAACGGGACCCACAGGATGGGGGCCGTGTCATCTAATGCAAGAGACTTCATGGCCTTGGCTCCTTAGAATGTCGGAGTGATTTGGAAAGCTGGTCCCATGGAATGGCTGCTGGACTTTTAAGAACCAAAATTAATATAATGGTAGCTCATTGTACTTAATGCATTTATTAGGTAGTTACTTTGTGCCAGGTACTTTTCCAAGCACTTTACATGTACAAACTTATTTAGTGCTCAAAAAGAATTCATGATTTAAATATTAAACCCACTTTAACTGAGAAAATGATGACTCCATCAAGATTACACAACTGGCAGGCAGTTGAGTTTCTAACCTGGATGCCATTCTGCCTCTTGTTATGTGAGAAGCATTCTGATTGCCTCAACTGTACACTCTGCATCAGAGACATGACCCAGTCCCTGGATATTAGACCCCATCTGACAAAAGGCCTATTGCCTCCTGTCATTGATGAAGCAGTGACTTCAAGGTAACAGCTGTCTTTCCAGGGCCTCTGAGGTGGGGGAAGGAAATGAGAGTGCCTTAACTTCATAGTTGAGACCAGGAGACCTGGTACTTGCCCATCTTTGCTAGGATACTGGACTTCATAACCTTGCTTGTATCCACTGTTCATGGGACAATATAGCATGCTCTCCTTTGGAAAATTACTAAACATAGGATTAGCAGCACCTGGAAATGCCAGGAAGGCCTGACAAAGCCTGAAGCAAATAAAAAATATTTTTATTTGCAGGTTCTAGGGTAAGGTGACAAGCCTAGAAAAATAGGTACTTTTAATTCCCCAAGTGGGAAAAACAGAGCCAGTTTTCTTGACATAATTATCTTTTCATCTGTTCAAGGTATGGAGAATGCCAACTACTGTCCCAGAATGGACCCAAGTAATTTAAACCAGTTGTGAGTGGAAATTCTAGAAGGGCAACACTAGAACTTACACTGCTTGCTATTATTTAGGTGGTTGTCTGAAGAGTTCATGCGAAATAATATAGAGTGCTGGAGGTAATTGGAGAGAACCCTAATATCATTAAAGGTCTGAAAGATGCCAGGTAGGCAACTATTTTGCTTTTCAACCTTTCCTTGTAGTCATTTTAAGTGATTCTGAGAGACTAACTGCAAATTGCTGCTGGTGTATTGAAATTGTTGCTACCATTGTTAATACCGGACTTGAGATTGTTTCAATTCTGGAAAAGCTATCCAAGATGCCCTGTGATATTAGCAACAGATTTGGCCAGTGCATTTATTTCTACATCTGTACATAAATAAGTCACCACTAGCAATTTGCATCTACCTGCACAGGACAGTGATATATTTTCACTGTCTTGTCTCAAGGGTGTGTAAATTTTCTTGCTCTCTGTCACACTTTTGAAAGAAGGGATTTTAAATCACATGGAAACTTGAAAGCTTTTCTTTCACCTATTACAGAGATGATGTTTTAATTAGGGGAAATAGGAGAGCTGTTTTCTGTATTTTCTCCTCCTTTATTGAGTTTATAACCTTCAGGGGATGAGTGAGTAAATACAAGAAAGCTCATGAACCCTTGCCCATAGTCACCTCTTTGGGCATTCTACTATTTCTAGCCTAGAGAGAAGCACCCATTTAGACTACAACCAGACTCTGCTGGCTTAAACCTCCCTCTTATGATTATAGATTATTTTACAAGACTTTTATTGTTAGAGCTGGGCTTGGAAAGGGGGACGCAGTAGGATTTTCCTGTGTCATTATTAGGAATAGGTTTTATCCCCAACCATTTCTGCAGCAAAGTGATTTAAATACTGTATAGCATTACCTCTTTATTGATCTGTAGCTGTTTCTGCTTGTTTTATATTCTGTTGATAGTGCCTGAAAATGTCTATTATTGTGTTAGGAGTGCTGGAGTGGGATCAAGAAAGAGGTGTCAGTTCCCGAGCTCCCAGCAGTGACCGTCAGCAAGGGACAGAAGGTGAATACAGTTTGTTAGGTGTATGGCAACAGCAAAGAAGCAGGCTTCCATGTAACCTGTTAGGGATGGGTAAGAAATGAATCTTGTGGTCTTAAATACATTAGAAATACGATTTTTGGAAAAGGAAAAAGCTGAGGCTAGACCTACGACTTGGGTTAGGCACATAAACTATCTGACTTGGTTTTACATAAAGAGCTGATCCCCAAATGCTGGAGGACTTGGGATCATACAGTTGACTTGGGTCACATAAAGGGTTTAGAGTTTGAAAGGAAACTTAGATATTTTCTTGTTCATTTTCTATACATAGAAATGAAGGCCAAGAGAATTTAAAGCGATGGCTGAGTCAGGCTGGAATCGACAACTCTTGATGGCTGGTCCAGTGCATTTCTGTTGACTCCTTTTGAATATCATCTGTAAAGTCTCTTAAGAAATGTCACTGAAAAAATCAATTTTATGTTGATAATTATTGACTGTTGTAAAGAGTGAAAAGTCACAACTGTGTCTTCTACCAAAATGTTGCTATAATCACCTTTCATGGTGAGAGGCAGCATAACATCTGACCCAGACCTTCTGGGATAATATTCCAGCCCTGCCTCTGATTACAGAGAAGTCTCAGCCTTCATGGGTCTCAGTGTCCTCCTCTGAAAGTGAACTTTTCCCCTGCCCAGACAGTGTGTTTTCAAACTCTAGGATATTTGCTGATCTGATAAGTGAAAAGAGTTATCTCAATGTAGCTTCAACATACATTTATTTATCATGAGTGAGATTGAACATTTAAAAAAATGTGTGAATTAAATAAAATATGTAAAACAGTAGAGTGTCAACTAAAAGTGACTATTGTTAGCCAATACCATTCTTTACTATTTTATTTTAATGAACAATACATTAACATAGATCAAAGATCCAAAGGTTTGAAAGTATAGAGTGCAAAGTCGGCTTCCTCACTCTATCTGTCAGCAATCCATTCTGCTCCCCAGTAGCAGTTATCCTCATATAGCTCCTACTAATTTTATGTGTTCATAAGCAAATGTGTAAAGAGGTTCTTATTCACTTCAATAAGCTGTATCATACTATGTAGAATGGATTTACCACAATTCATTTTACTTGACACTTGGTAACATAAATTTAGGTTAATACCAATCTTTTGCTATTATTAATTATACTGTGACAGATTACCTTGGATATATTAAAAATGGGCAGGAGAACTGAATAGATATTTTTCTAAAAAGGAAATGAAGATGGCCAACAGGCATATGAAAAGATGCTCAACTTCACTAATCATGAGAGAAATGCCAATCAAAACCACAATAGGTGTCATCTCACATCTCCCAGCAGGAGGCTTTTATCAAAAAGAACACAAATAATAAATTTTGGTAAGAGTGTGGAGAAAAGAGAACCTTCCTACACTGTTGGTGAAACTGTAAATTGGTATAGCCGTTGTGGAAAACAGCATGGAGTTTCGTCAAAAAACTAAAAATAGAACTAGTGTATGATCCAGCAATTCCACTCTTGTTTGTATATCTGAAGAAAACAAAAACATTAGTTTGAAAAGATACACTCCAATGTTCATAGCAGTATTATTCACAATAGTCTAGATATGGAAGCAACCTGAGTATCCATCAACATGCAAGGTGATAAAGAAGATGTGGTGTATATATAGAGAACGGACTACTACACAGTCATAAAAGAGAATGAAAATTTTCCATTTGCATAACATGGATGGGCCTAGAGGGTATTATGTTTAATGAAATAAGTCAGAGAAATGAAAATACTATACAATATCACTTATATGTGGAATCTAAAAAATGCAAGAAACTAGTGAATTTAACAAAAAGAAGCAGACTCATAGAGAAAAAATTAGTGGTTCCCAGGGGAAAGGACAGGCTTCTCTAGTAGTTCAGCTGGTAAAGAATCTGCTTGCAGAGTCTCTCCATCGTTGGTCCAAGGAGACGGAACCTCTCCCAGGAGAGCGGTCCCTGACAGCCTGGCTGCGGATCTGGGGCTGAATGAAGCTCAGCTGGAAACGCTTCGTCCGAGGGTCGGGGATCCGCTAGGAATCCGGGAGCTCTCTCACTGAATGCTCTTCAGTTGCCTCCAGATTGGTTGCTTGTTTTCTTGGGTGCCACCTGGTTGCAACCCTTGTCTGGTGGAGTCCTCCTGTTCCCCTGGAAGGCCCTGGGATGGGGTCCGCGCCTTGGTTAGGGTGCAGTTGGCTGCGCTCTCAGGGAACAAGTGGCAGACCGAGCACAATGGGAAGAATGCATTCCTGATGACTCGCCTACCCTAGGAAGACTAGCTAAAATCTGATGGTTTTTATGGAAAGCTTTGCTGTCACTGTTTCATAAGTACTTGGTATTGGTGGAGCTCACTGGATGCTTGCTTGTTTCTGTTCCCAGTAAACCTACAAGAGATCTCATGACCCCAGCAATTTCTAAAGGTGGGTCCTGGCGCCTAACAAAGGCAAACAGGTTATTTTCATCAACTCTGGAGCCTTGCATTTTTCTCTGGCCACTGTTTAGAGGTTCCATGAAGATATTATGAACGTGCACTAGGGCCCTCCCCTCACCTCCTCCTGAAATGGACAGTTACCCTTGGGTGTCTGGTGAAGATTACTGCCAATGCAGTAATAGCATGTTTCTGAAAAGACAAGCCACTGGACATTAGTGCCACTAACGACAGTGTAATGCTTCAGTGTTCCTTTAAGAATGAGGCCTGCTTTGATCAGCAGTGTTTTCATTTGTTGCTTGTTTCTGTGTTTGTGTGTGGTTTCATTGGGCCTGTATTCCCTTCTTGCTATTGATAATCTTTTACTTAAGTGAAATCACAGACTGGAATTAGTAGCAGCCATGCTCCCTGGGGCTAAAATTAGAAAAGCCAAGGGAACTCTTCAGGCATATCCTTCTTGTCTCATAAAAGATTCTGCAGTCTCTCCTGAGACTCCCACTTTAGCACTTACTGTAAGATGCTGCTTAAATACTCTTTAAGATAGCATTTTTATATGTACCATAGCTTCCTCATCCATTCTTCTGCTGATGGGCATCTAGGTTGCTTCCATGTCCTGGCTGTTTTAAACAGTGCTGCGATGAACATTGGGGTGCACCTGTCTCTTTCAGTTCTGGTTTCCTTGGTGTGTATGCCCAGGAGTGGGATTGCTGGGTCATATGGCAGTTCTAGTTCCAGTTTTTTGGGGAATCTCCACNAAAAAAAAAAAAAAAAAGAATCTGCAGTGCAGGAGATCCCAGTTCAATTCCTGGGTCAGGAAGATCCCTTGGAGATGGGATAGGCTACCCACTCCATTATTCATGGGCTTCCTTGGTGGCTCAGATGGTAAAGAATCTGGTAAAGAGCAGACTTTTGGAGTATGTGGGAGAAGGCGAGGGTTGGACGATATGAGAGAATAGCATTGAAACATGTATATTACCATATGTAAAATAGATGACCAGTGCAAATTTGATGCATGAAGCACGGCACCCAAAGCTGGTTCTCTGGGACAACCCAGAGGGATCGGGTGGGGAGGGAGATGGGAGGAGGGTTCAGGATGGTGGGATGCATGTACACCCATGGCTAATTCATGTTGATGTATGGCAAAAACCACCACAATATTGTAAAGTAACTAGCTTCCGATTGAAAGAAAGAAAGAACCTACCTGCAATGTGGGAGACCTGGGTTCGATCCCTGGGTTGGGAGGATCCTCTGGAAGATGGCATGGCAACCCACTCCAGTATTCTTGCCTGGAGAATCCCCATTGACAGAGGAGCCTGGCGGGCTAGTCCATGGGGTCACAAAGAGTTGGGCACGACTGAGCAACTAAGCCCAGCACAGCGCAGGGGGAAGGAGAGGAGAGCAGTAGAGTGGTGGGGGAGCAGGAGGTACAGTTACTGTGTGTAAGATAAGCTCATGATGTACCACATGGGGAATATAGTCAATATTTTGTAATAACTGTAAATGGAGTGTAACCTTTAAAGATTGTATAAAAATATATATGGAAGAAAAACAAGTAAATGTACAGTTTTTTAGTGTGTAATGTACAAAATACATTAGTCAAGTGTTCAGTTCAGTTCAGTCGCTCAGTTGTGTCCGGTCTTTTCAAATGAGTCAGCTCTTCTCATCAGGTGGCCAAAGTATTGGAGTTTCAGCTTCAACATCAGTCCCTCCAATGAACACCCAGGACTGATCTCCTTTAGGATGGGCTGGTTGGATCTCCTTTTCACAGCTATTTGTAAGGCCTCCTCAGACAGCCATTTTGCTTTTTTGCATTTCTTTTTCTCAGGGATGGTCTTGATTCCTGTCTCCTGTACAATATCACGAACCTCCGTCCATAGTTCATCATGTATACATGTATACATATATAATCTATATATAACTTAAACACACTGTTTATTTTTGCTGTGCTGGGTTTTTGTTGCTACATGGGCTTTTTCTCTAGTTGCCAAGGGCAGGAGCTCCTCTCCAGTTGCACTGTGTGGGCTTCTCATTTTGGTGGCTTTTCCTGTTGCGGAGCATGGGCTCTAGGGTACTCTGGCTTCGGTAGTTTCCACTTGTGAGCTCAGTAGTTGCTGCTCACAGGCTCTAGAGCACAGGCTCAATAATTGTGGTGCATGGGCTTAGTTGCTCCATGGCATGTTGGATCAGGGATTGAACCTCTGTCTCCTGCTTTGGCCGGCAGGTTCTTTACTACCTAACGACCAAGGGAGCCCCCATGTATAACTTTCGATCTCCTTCAAATTTAACTACTGATAGCCTACTGGTGACCACAGTCCTTACTGATAATATAAAAAATTATTATACACTATGGACTGTATTCTTACAATAAATGAGCTAGAGAAAACAAAATGTTATTAAGAAAATTGTAAGGAAGAGAAAATATGTTTACAATATTGTACTGTATTTATCAATACCATAAGTTTACCTCACCTGTTTATAAGATGGATCATCTGTCAGCACCTATATCAATATTGTCTTATATGATACAAAACACTGTAGATGTTATGTGTATTACTAATACTAGGTATCAAAAATAAAAAAGTAATGTGAAAAAGAGATTCATATTTATATACAAGTAAAATGAT